CAACAACAACAAGACATTGTATGTGTCTACTTGGCTGAAATCTACTGAAGCAATGGTGGGCACACAGTATCACTTAAGAAGGGTATCATGAACATATGAGAGAATTGATGACTTTTTCTAATTATGCATAAAAACCTAGTTTTGTCTTATTTTGTTAGACAATTTTAAGCACACAATCCAATTCTCCTTTCAGAACCATCAGAGGGTGATCTGATATAATTTTGTCTTCCAGGCATTCATGTCCATAGGAAAGTAAGATAAAGGATGGTGGAGTACAAACCTTCTACTGTTACTAACTTCATCTTCCCCTCTGAGCTTGCTCTTGGATAAGTATGAACAATACCAGTTGGACAAAATAGAATTATTTGGGAATTGAGGCTCTGGAGAAAGACAGGTGTGTATACATCTGAATAGCTATGCTTTTTAATATGCTCTTAATTTTAAAGCTTTTAAAAAGTCATATAAAATATTAACAAATAATTGTCAGCCTTATTCATGAATTAACTTATTTTCTGTTTATTCATTTAAAAAACCCTGGAAACAAAAATAAGAATTTGAATTCTTACTACTGCCAGGCACTTTTGTAGGTACTGGAAACTACATGTAAATTCTATCACTGGTGTTATGTGTTCTTAGCATTATTTGATTTTTCTCTCATAACGTAGGCTATGGTATTTTTAGGAAGCCATTTGAGAAAATTCCATTATACCAGAGGGATATATAGATGAAAATATTTTACATATTGAGAAAACGTGACATGGCTTCTAATACTTTATGGTAAACCATAAATGTCCTTATTTAATATTATAACCCAGCTTTAAAATTAATTAATATAAATTTGCAATTCTCAAAGAATTGCTTAGCCATATATAATATTTTTAAAGAATAATAATACCTGCAAAATGCAGCATGTTGATATTTCATATTGATAAAGTGGGCTGGCCTTTAAAATAATTGGGGGGGAAGTTTATAATTTCAAATGAAGGTCAAAATGACACAAAATTTTAAGTCAAAATGACTCTGCAACAGACTGATGTTGAAATTACATTATTTTGATTTTTTTCTGATAGAGTCTGGAGGAAAGTTGTACTCAGTACAAAAATAAATTTGATATCTTCAAAAGAGACATTGAAAATATAAAATTCAAAATTACAGTTCCACAAAAGCAGTGGTCTAATTCCTTTCTTTTCCTTTCCTTTCCTTTCCTTTCCTTTCCTCTCCTTCCTTCTCTCTCCTCT